ATCTGATCCCAGGGTCGATCGATGATCCTCAAGGCTTTCTCAGAGGTTGATCGGACGGGGCTAGGACGAGGATAAATCCGCTTCAGAGCGTTTCCGAACGCTCTGAGAAGGCCGCTGCGCCAGAGACGTCCTCCAGAGCCGCTGGATCTCAGAGATTCTCTGTGTATCCTTGCCCGATGTAATCCTCGTCCTGTCTTCGTCCTGAAGTTGATAGAAGTCTCATCCTGCCGAGAGGATTCGTTCGGTGGTCTCCGTCCTCGAGAGGGACTCGTGAAGTGGACTTCGCCGGGCTGTTGGGCTGTGTTCTGGAGGCTGCTGCTCCAGGTGGGATTGGCGAGGTGCTTTTCCACGGCCCTCGAGGGGGTGCTGCGGCTGCAGCCTTTGCTGGCTGGCCTGCGCCCGCTGGGCCTGGTCCCGGGGCCGCTCTCACTCCAGAGTGTCTTGCGAGAGTCGGGGGCGGCAAAGAGGGGGATGATGACTTACGGGGGGGGGGGGGGGAAGTGGGCATCACGGCAGGGGCCATGCTGTCTCCCCAGAGAGTTCGTGGCCCCTCGCAGTATTTCAATACATCTCTGGCCCCCCCCTGGGCCGCGCACCTGCCGCTGGCCACGAACTGCGCCCCTCCATCCCCTCTTGGACGCCTCCCTCCTCCTGGGACGCCCCCGACGAACGGGGGCCCCGTCCACTCCCGAGCTCAGCCCAGTAATGACTGCGCGTTGTCTGCCCCCTGTGGAGCTCTCCCCGCCGACCGCGCGCAGCCTGCATCGCGTCACCGCTGCCGTCTGCTTGACGTGCTTGGGGCGCTGGGAAGCTTGTCGGGTGGCGGTCGTTTCCAAAACGGGCCCTCGCACCGCGCCCCTCGCGCCGTCAGTGCACTGCTCTCCCAGGGCTCTAAGGCGTCGTCCGCACCGTGCCTCTGCATGCCCGAGCTCCACAGCTGCCTGCACGCCCTCCTGCGCTCAGCTGGGTTCTTGCTCTATTGGACACTGCGCAGGCCTGGCGAAAGCTTGAGAGGTCCCTTTCCATGTGCGCCGCCCCTCCCCCCCCCCTGGAGTAGATCTTGCCTGTTTTTTGGATCGCCGTTTTGGACAGGTGGAGTCTCCCCCTAGGATTGTGGAGTTCGCAAGGTTGTCGTTTTCTGATTCCTTGTTTTGCCGATCGGCGCGGGACCGAGGTGTAACCTCGCTATTCGGCACCTAGCCCACAGGCATTCGGCACCTAGGAGTCAACCCTCGTCGGCCCTTCGCCCAGAGTCATGGGGGTGATAACCACCCCCTGCCTACCACCCCCAACAAGCCATGAGGATGTCAGATATATTCGGTCAGACGAGATTTAGCAGGATGACGCCGATAAGATTGTGATGATGAAGCACAAGGCGATCATTCCACCAACATCGATCATGAAGAAACCATAACCCATCATGATGGCATGACGGTATTTACCATGAGATCATTTCTCTGGGGATCCTCCGCGACGACGACGACGACCACGACGGCGTGGGCCATCCAGGTACGGAATCCAGTTTGGATGATGTCGAGGGTGAGGAGGAGGGGGAGTTCGGCGATGAGGAAGGGTTGAGGATGATGGTGGTGATGATTATGATGGTGCTGATGATGACGACGATGATGATGACGACGATGATGACAATGATGATGATGATCATCATCATGATGATGGTTATGATGATGATGATGATGATGATGATGATGATGATGATGATGAGGATGAGGATGAGGATGAGGATGAGGATGAGGATGAAGATGAGGATGAGGATGAGGATGAGGATGAGGTTGAGGAGGAGGAGGAGGAGGAGGAGGATGATGATTATTATTATCATGGTGACGATGATGCATACATTGGCACGGAATGGCCAACGAAGGCGAGGAGGGGAAGCAGCATGGGGGGATGGAACTCCGGTAACATAATTCTTTTGCTCCTCCTCCTCCATCCTCCTCCCTCCCTCCTCCTGAATCGACCGATCGAGGATCCTTGGGCCAGCGTCTGCTGAGGAAGGGGGGGAAGAAGAGGAGGAGCAGGAGGACGAGGTGGAGGAGGAGGAGGAGGAGGAGCGCCGTCGTCTTATTCGTCATCGTCGCCGACGTCGTGGTCGACGTCGTTGACGACGACGCCGATGAGGAGGGAAAGGCAGGAAGAGAGGCAGGAGGGAGGAGGCCCGGGGGGGGGCCCGAGAGGCCTTCGAGGCGAGGAGGCGGCGAGGGTATCCGTGAGGTGTCCGGAGGGTATCCGTGAGGTGTTCGGAGGGTATCCGTGGGGTGTCTGGGGAGAGGCTCCTCGCGGGGCCTCTGGAGGCCCTGACCCCGGACACCTCACGGGTACCCTCCGGACACCTCACGGATACCCTCTCCGCCTCCTCGCCTCGAGGGCCTCTCGGGCCTCCCCCCCTGGGCCTTCTCTCCTCCTCCTCCTCCTCCTCCTCCTCCTCCTCCTCCTCCTCCTCCTCCTCCTCCTCCTCATCATCATCATCATCATCATCATCATCATCATCCTCATCCTCATCCTCATCCTCATCCTCATCATCCTCATCCTCCTGCTCCACCTTCCTCTCCTCCCCCGCCTCCAGCAGACGCTGGTACAGGGATCCCCGATCGTTCGATCAAGGAGGAGGGAGGGGCCGGGAGGGGCAGGAAGAGGGAGAGGACGACGAAGAGGAGAAGGAAGAAGGGGGAGGAGGAGGCGAAGGAGGAGGAGGGTTGGTTCTGTGAGCTTCTTCCCCACATCCTGAGTGCTTTTTTGTTTTCCTAAAACACCCTTTCCTTCTCCTCCCGCTTCCTTCCCCTATACCATACCATGTATACCATCCCATACCAACCATACCACTACATACCTGCCATGCCTTATCATACTATGCGTACCGTACCATACCATACCAACCATGCCATACCTACCATACCCTATCTACCATGCCATGTCACACCATACCGTACCAAAACATACCTGCAATACCATACGATACGTACCATACCATGCCAGACCCACCAGATCATGCTTATCATACCACACCTAGCATACCATCACATACAATACCTACCATACCGTACCATACCATACCTGCCATACCATACCATACGATACGTACCATACCCTACCATGCCTACCATACCATAACCTGCCATGGGTCACGGTCAAGTCCGCTTGGGTCACTCACCAGGCGCACCCCAGCCCGCGACGGCGGGTCCAGATGCAAATCGCCGCGGCACAGCTGGCTCTCCAGGTCATGGAGGCACTGCAACGCAGCGGAACGAGGGACCCCGGTGCCCCGCGGCGGTGGCTGGCGGAAGCGTCCGCGTGGGAAGAGGTGGAAACTGGGCCGGCGGGAGACGGCGGGTCCCTTCGGCGGAGGTTGGTGGAAGAGACCGCGGAAGCCGCGCAGGCGGCACCCGGTGGAGACGCGGTTTCCGCGGAAGTGGCGTCTTCTTCCTCCCCCTCCCCTCGTGGCCTCCTGGCCGGCGGGGTGCGGGGTCCTGGGGGCGTCGATTTGGTGTCCCGTCACGACGGTGTCCCGATGGTGTCCTTTGTGCACGGGGGGCCCTGGCCCCCCCACCCAGATAGTCGTTGACCCCGAGGCCGACGGCGCGGTGCTGGCGTCCGCGGCCAACGTGGTAGCATCGGCGGAGGGTGGCCCCCTCCCTCCCCTTCCTTCCCCCCCGCTCGGGCGGCGGCGGCGGCCTGGTTAGCGCCCCTTCTTCCTCCGGGGTGGGTGGGTGGTCTTCGGGTTGAGGCTCAGGCAGGGCGCCGGCTGGCAGCGCTGCACTGCCACGGCGGCCTTTGAGCAGGTTGACCCAACGTGCCCCGGGCAAATCCCGGGGAACACGCGGCAAG